CATTGATCATCATTTGGTAACCATGCTCACCGGCTCTGGCGAAAGGGTTGATGATGTCATGGTCACTGTCCAAGGTAATTGGGAATTCGGCGAAGGAGAAGATCGCCAAGACCCAATACCAAGGCAAAAGGGAAAACCAGGTGCCCAGCTAGAATTGCTAACATATCTTAAAATAAATGGTTTATTCAGCTTAAATATTATGTAGATCATTTGTGTTTCTTGCAGGCAACGATTTGAAACGAGCATTGCCATCAACGAACAAAGTTTTTTTAGATCAGGTGAGGATAGTCCTCAATTACAAAGGTCGCGCAAACCTCCAAGGACAAGGGTGTGCAGCCCATGTATTACTGAGATATGACCCAACTTACTCCACTTTTTCGGCCGTAGATAATATCCCTGTGCCGACACATGAACGGCAGCTCATTGCGTTTATCTTCCCTAGCTACAAAAGTCTAAGGGACATTGGCATCGAAGGTTCTGACACTAGTGAGATCGGCGAAGACGCACAATCGGAGGGCCGTGCAGGGGACCAAGAGTTGAATTGAGAAATCGACTTGGCGTTTGAGCATGTTGACCCAAACCATTACGCCGATCTCCCTTCTACTTGTGGTCGAGTAGATTTATTCGCTCTAGAGGAAGACATCTATACCAGCTTAGAAAATCTTTCTGGGGCCGAATCTGAAGCTGAAGAGATGAGCAGGGAATCACTTGCCTAGTTTGCCAAGCGACAAAATGAAGAGAAGATTGCGGCCAGGAGGTAAGCCGGCGGGTTTGGGGGGGAGCCAAATAATGCCAACTCGTGAGGTGCGTCAGGAAGAAACGGCCCGCGAAACAACTTTGGCCAAGTTGATTCTTGAAAAAAATCAGACTGAAGTCCAGGAAGCTGATCTCACAGGGCAGAAGCGGCCTGCCAAGAGTGTGATCGATGTACTAGATGAGCCGATCGAGAAATGGCCAAGGGTGGATGCGTCGCTTGTGGAAGATGATTTGGCTGAGGCATTCGTCATCCAACCAAGGATGAAGAATGCACTAGTGCTCACCAGTGGGTCGATGATCAAAGATCCCGCCGTGGCCCTGAGTGTAGCTTTGGCCCTTTCTTTGCCTTCAGACCAAGCGACTTTCCGTACTGAGCCAGATGTAATCTTAATCACCTTGGTCGCTCAGTTGGCCATTTTGGTAAGTTAAAATCTCAAATTCCCAAATAGGTTAACTATGTGTTCCTATTCAAACTAATTTTATTGCTTTTTTAGACAGCGAGAAGGCTCGTAGAGATCGTCCGTCGTCACTATGACGTCGTAGAGCGATTCGGTGTCCTAGAGCCTCAGCTGGAAGAAGAGAAGGGCAAGGCCACTACAGCCCTCGCTGATCTATCTACATCGACTACAAAAGTCGAAGAAGAGCAAGCGAGGGCAGTTACTGCTCAACAAAAAGCTGAACACGCCAATTTGCTCCGTAGGGCCTCCGAAGAGAGAGCAAACTTAATGGACGGCTCTCTGAAGTCAGCTCAAGAAAAAGTCTCCTAGCTGAAGGCTGGTCTTGAAGCTGAGAAGAGGCGAGGGAGCTCGCTGAGGCGGACGTGACCAAAGCCTTTGATGCCGGTCTGCTGAAAGCTAAGGAGCTTTATGATGATGAGGCCTTGAAGTTCGAGAATCGAGCCTTCAAGCATGGATGGCTGAAGGCTTTGGTAGCCGCTAAGGTGACTCTCGATCAGCCAATTCCTTACGAACAATTGGAAGTCGAACTGCTGGAATCGGATTAAGAGGATTTGGACGCTTGATCGACAGTTTTGTAATGGATATTCAGTCGTTATTTGTTTTTTGTTAGCTTTTATTAGTTTTTGTTAGCACTTTTTTTTTAGATGTAGGTCATTTTCATGTATAAAGTCGATGTACACACATTTTATTAATGAGCATGTCCGTTTTGTTATTGAATGTTATTGTTAAGTATTGAAAAAAAAAATTCCATATCAAATGAGAGCATGACCTTTACATCTTAATTCGGCAAAATGCGTGGAGATAACCCAAATATATTAATAAATCTTCCCTTGCCCCAACTGATCACTAAACATAACCACCGAATCTATGGACGAAAAGTTCATGGGATCAGGTGGGGCATTGTATTTATTCGGCAAAATGCTTAAAGATAAGCCGAATATATTAATAAATCTGGCGATGCTCCAACTGATTACTGAGCACAACCACCGAATGTATGGACGAAAAGTTCATGACCTTTACATCATAATTCGGAAAAATGCTAGGAGATAACCGGAACATATTAATAAATCTGCCCTTACCCCAGCTAACCACTGAGCATGACCGTCGAATGTATAGACGAAAAGTTCATGGGATCAGGTGGGGCAGTTTCTTTGTTCGACAAAATGCTTGAAGATAAGCCGAATAGATTAATAAATCTGACGATGCCCCAGCTGATTATTGAGCACAACCGCCGAATGTATGGACGAAAAGTTCATGACCTTTACATCTTAATTCGGCAAAATGCTTGGAGATAAGCCAAATATATTAATAAATCTGCCCTTGCCCCAGTTGATCACTGAGCATGACCGCCAAATATATGGATGAAAAGTTCATGGGATCAGGCGGGGCAGTGTCTTTGTTTGGCAAAATGCTTGAAGATAAGCTAAATAGATTAATAAATCTGCCCTTACCCCAACTGATCACTGAGCATGACCACCGAATGTATGGACAGAAAGTTCATGGGATCAGGTGACGTAGTGTCTTTATTTGGCCAAATACTTGAAGTGATCGCTTCGTAAAAACCACATCCGTAATTAATAAATGGGAGGGGCCAGGTGCGCGTGGGGCCTGTGCTGTCGTTAAATATATTCTGCTCAAATTCAGCATAGTGCAAGAGGGAAAAGAGCACTACATCGAATTGAGGAGATTTGTATGTCAAGAAAAGTATTGTTTAACAGCATAGAGGAGGGCAAGACGCTAGCTGAACTGGATTTAGAAATGAATCGAGGGGATAGTGGCGAACCCGCACGAACGGGTAACAGGATGTCAGAGGAGTCTGAGAGGCGTCGCTCCCCCTGTCGTCGAAGTAGGTCTCTAAGAGGGGGCAAGGTAGAAAAGTCTCCAAGAGGAGCGAGGTAACAACGAGAGAGCTCCAGGACTGGGAGTGCACATGCCTCACTGCGAAATAAAACCAGCAGGCCTCCACGCTCGTTGCTTTTTTCGATTTTTGTTGGGAATAAATCGATGATCGAAACAGACTCAATTATCCGCGATCCGAATATGGCAATAGAGTTCGCTCGACAAATTTTTCTACCCGAAGTCTAACAATCAATGGTCGGTTAGCCTGATTATGAAATTTTTCGAGAGGGCATCCATAGAGCAGTTAGAGGACTATACACCTCTTATGAGAGTGGTATGCGCCTTCGTGCCGTGCAAAGAGAGATAAAACAGAAAGACGGCTGCATTCGGAGCATGGAACAACATGTAGAAAAGGCCGAGAACGAGTTGCGAAAAGCCAAGGCTTCTGAGATGCAGTCGGCAAGTCAAATGAACTCGATTGTGATAGACAGAGTAAACCAACGCCTGCTTGATCATGCCATAGCTTATCGAGATATGGCAAGTATGTTCGCACGAGAGGCGATAAGAACGAGGGCCTATGAACAAGGCTTTTTTGACGGCCGAAAGATCGGTATTGAGAAGACCAAGAAGAAGTTAGCTAATGATGTTTGCCAATACAAAAATCATGGATTTAAGCACAGATGGATTAAGGCTCTGCAAGCCACGGGTGTCGATTCCGCGTCATCATTATACCAAAGTTATAAGGTCCCCTTCGAGGCTTATGAAGCAGAGAAGACTGATGACGAAGAAGAAAGTGCCGAACAGGAGAAGGTCTAGATAATCATTGTATTTCTTAGTCTTTAAGCACCCATGTATTTATATAAATTGTAACAAATAAATATCATATGTACTTGTTTGATATTTTGGTTGTCCCTGTTGGGAATATGAATTGTGGTCCCATAATCTTTATTGTTTTTCTACTGACCGATGTAGTTTAATTACTAACTTTCATCGACTTAGGCAACGGTGACCTAAACCCTTCGTTGAGCATCCACGAAGGGGGCTTCTGAATTTGGAGTCTTTGTATTGGCCAATTGTGAGATCCACGAAGGGCGCTCAGAATTCGGAGGCTTATTCGGCCCAAACGTGAACACGCATGAAGGGTGCTCCGAATTCAGAGTCTTTGTATTGGCCAATTGTGACATTCATGAAGGGCGCTTCGAATTCAGAGGCTTATTCGGTCCAAACGTGAACATACATGAAGGGTGCTTCGAATTTGGAGTCTTTGTATTCGCCAATCGTGACATCTACGAAGGGCACTCTGAATTCGGAGGCTTATTTGTCCCAAATGTGAACATGCATGAAGGGCGCTCCGAATTTAGAGTATTTGTATTGGCCAATCGTGACATCCACGAAGGGCGCTCCAAATTCGAAGGCTTATTCGGCCCAAACGTGAACATGCAAGAAGGGCGCTCCAAATTCAGAGTCTTTTTCACTATTCAACTATTTTTCACGAGACGATGATAAAAAAGGCATTGCATTACAGAATTTGTAGATGTGTACATATAGAATAACAAAAAAAATAAAAAATGAACTAACATGCCGTACAAGTTGGCTTAATGATAAAATTTATGCAAATGGGTCGAATTCCAGGGGCGTGGCAAACTTCTGCTAGCCATGTCTGAAAGCTAATACGCCTCCGTTCTGGCAATTGAATCAATCTAATAAGGACCGTACCAGTTGGGGCCTAATTTATTGTCTGCCTGATTCTTAGTAGCAGAAGCACTTTCTTGAGGACTAGTTCTCCACGTGTATAACGACGCAACTGAACGCGCTGGTTATATGACTTGGTGAGCTGTTGCTGATACCGCACCATGCATACAAGAGCATGATATCGGCACTCTTCAACCAAAGTCAAATCTAAGGCCAACATCATGTCATTACGCCCCATGTCAAAAACCTTGGATTTTAGTGTGGGCAAGCCAATTTCAAGAGGGATAATAGCCTATGTCCCAAATCACAAAGCGAACGACGTTTCTCCAGTAGATTGCCTCGGAGTGGTGTGATGAGCCCACAACAAACTGGGCATCTCTTTAACCCACCTGCCTTTCGCCTTTCCAATCTTTTCTTGATGCCATCCAAGATCACTTTATTGGAGGCCTCAACCTGACCGTTGCTTCGTGGATATGCCGACGAGGAAAAGTACGGCCGGATACCATATTTATTGCATAACTCCCGATAGACACCACAATCGAATTGGGTGCCATTGTCGGATACAAGTGCTCTTGGTATGCCAAATCGAGTTATAATGTTTTTCCATACAAAACTTTTAACATCGACATCTCGAATATGTGTTAATGCCGCTGCTTCGATCCACTTTGTAAAATAATTTGTTGCGACGATTAGGAATCCCTTGTTCCCTAGAGCCCGCAGTAATGGTCCGACAATATGAAGTCCCCATTGAGCGAACGACCAAGGACTAGTAATGGAATTTAATTCTTCACCAAGCAGATGAGTTAATGGGGAAAACTTTTGGCATTGTTCGCACTCTTTACATAGTTCTCGGTATCTGTTTGCATGGCCGGCCAATAATACCTCTACGTTACGACTCGGTGGGCCAACAAACGTCCTCTAGTGTGGGCACCATAGCTACCTTCATGTATTTCGGCCAAGAATTCCTCAACTTTGTCTGGGTGAACGCATTCTAGATACAACCCAGAGAGATTTTTTGTAAAGCTTTCTCTGCGAATCTAGATAATATCTTGGGCTTTATTTCGCATCTTGTGGGCTTCTTTCTTATCCGTTGAAAGCTATTTTGACGAAAAAAATGCAGCGATTGGGTCTATCCAACTTGGTCCAGGTTCAATGATGTTAATCTGAGTTGGTTTAGAAGAGGAGATGCTCGGTTGTGGGATGAACCCTACTTTGATTGTTCGTTTGACTTTTGAGTTAATGATGGAGGCTAGGCAAGCAAGGGCATCTACATGCGTGTTCTGATCCCGGGTTATTTGATTCAACTCGTGGTGGTCGAATTTTGTGAGCAAGGAATTTGTTGTTTTCACGCAGGTTGCCACACGGTCATTTTTAGCTGCATATTCCCATTTCAATTGGTTTATGACTAACTTCGAGTCACAGAAAACATATACCTGCCGTGCACCAAGATGAAGTGCATTATGAAGGCCAGTTAGCAATGCTTTGTATTCGGCCTCGTTATTTGGCGCATCGAAGCCCAGTTTGATTGCCTGCTCAATTATTGCCCCTTTGGGGGTCATGATTACTACGCCTGCCCCACTCCCACGTTGGTTGGATGATCCGTCACAGTACATTTGCCAAATGTCTCCAACATATATTAATGAATCATGTTTAGGTTAAAAGTGGACTTGATCGGACTTGAAGTCGGCATGGCATCCCGTGAACTTAGCTACAAAGTCGGTGAGCACCTTCCCCTTGATGGTCGTTCTGGGAAAAAATTGGATATCATACTAGACGAGTTCCAAAGCCTATTTAAAGACTTGCCTTGATGTTTCCGCGCTATGGAGTGCTAACCGGAGAGGATAGTCCATTAATACCCCTATGGTATGAGCTTGAAAATAGTGCTTCAACTTTCTTGTAGCCACCACGAGAGCAAGGATGAGCTTTTCCAATTATAGGTATCGTGTTTCGACGTCGATCATTGCCTTGCTTGCATAGTAAATTGGTCGCTGCTCCCCGAATTCTTCCTTTCGTAACATGGTGTTGACGGCTTGGTCGGATATTGCTAGATACAAGATGAGCAGATCGCTTGGCGATGGGGTTCCCAAGCGTTGTATTGAACGGAGATAAGTTTTCAAGCTATCTAGCACGGCCTGGGACTCGGGGGTCCATTCAAATGCTTTGTCGTGCCAAAGTTTGTGAAAAAATTGTCGGGAGCGATATGAGGAACGGCTGATAAACCTATTGAGGGCGGCGGCCATTCCCATGAACTTCCGAACTTCTTTGACCGACCGTGGTGAGCCGAGTTATAGAATTGCTATGATCTACCTCGGGTTCACCTCTATTTCGCGATGATTGACAATATAGCAGAGAAACTTGCTGGATCCGATGCACATTTCGAGGCGTTTAGTTTCATCTTGTCCTTTAGGAGAATGCTGAAGGTCTCTGCTAAATTGGCTAGATAGACGTGCTTTTCCTTGGATTTCACCACCAAGTCATCGATGTATACTTTCATGGTGCGGCCGAGTTGTTCCTTGAACATAGTGGTAACCAGCCTTTGGTAAGTTGCCACCATATTATTCAGTCCAAAGGGCATGACCTTGTAGCAATAGGTTTCCCTTATTGTGAGGAATGCGGTCTTTTCTTGAACCTCCAGATGCATGGCAATTTGGTGATAACCCCTGTAGGCATCCAAGAAGCTCATGCGCTGATGATGTGCCGTTACGTCCACAAGTTGGTCAATTTTGGAAAGAGGAAAACAATCCTTTGGATAGGCCCTGTTCAAATCCATGAAATCAACACAAACGCACTAAGATCTATTTTTCTTCTTTATACCCACGGTGCTGGACCGCCACGTGGAATAAGTTACTTCACGAATTGCCCCAGCATCAAGCAATCTGTCAACTTCATCAACAACGGTCGATGCATGCTTCGCGGCTAATCGCCGACTTTTTTGAATGATTGGTTTGACTTTTGGATCGAAGTTTAAACGATGCTGGATCCACCCCCGGTATCTCATATGGTGTCCACGCAAATACGTCGAGGTTGCCGAGTAAGAAGGACACTAGCTCGTGTCTGTCAAATTCGTTCAGGGAAGTGCCAATCATGAAGAATTTGTCAGGGTTCCCATTGATTTCAATCCGATCAAGGTCTTCAGTTACCTTTTTGCTTGTGATTTTCCCAATGTTCTCGAGGCTCTCTCAATCCGGTACTTCAATCAAGTTCACTTCCAGTTCCTTTGGCTTCTTTGTAGCAGCAATAAGATAGCATGCTTGTGCCGATTTCTGAGAGCGCCGAATCTGCTCATTGCCATATTCGGTTGAAAGTCGGAGTAGTTGATGGTAGGTGCTTGGCACAGCCTGCATAGTGTGCAACCAAGTCCTTCCTATGATAAGATTGAATGGTGACGAGAGTTTGACAACCAGAAATTCCACGTCTACCAATCTGATACCTGCCTGTATTGGTAGTGTGATCTTGTCCAAAGGATACTCAGGGTTAGCATTGAAGCCGAACAGTGGGTAATCGACCGGTAACAGATCCGAATTAGTGAAGCCGAGTTTAACAAGCGTCTTGGAATACATTATTTCTGAGGTGCTTCCCTGATCAATGAGAACACGCTCGACTGTGAATCTGTTCACATGGAGCTAGACGATGAGGGGATCAACATGGGAGAGAGTTACTCTATCTAGGTCGGTGTCATCGAAACTAATCTTGCCAGTTTCAATGGGGTCGTTTGGCTGGTGTGATTGGCTTGTGCAGGCTAGGTTGCAACTGAATTGTATGTACGTCAGCTGATGACGGTAGGTTGTATATCATGTGAATTACACCAAGTAGAGGTGAATCCGGTCGTAAAGCTACCATGTTCAATGGATTTTTCTTTCAGACATGGTGCAACAGCCGACCGTCTTGCACTAACTCCTCCAAGTGGTTGTTTAATGCATAACAACTGTCAGTATCATGGCCATGGTCCTTATGATATTCGCACCGCTTATCCCTTTTTCCTTGTATCAGGGGTCCTATCATCTTGGATGGCCACATAAACAACGAAAGATGCTAGACTTTGGGTAGGATCTTACTGACCGGCTCAGCCAATTTCGTATACTTCTTGTCCGAATGTCTTGTGCACCTGCTATCTACTTGATATTGTTTGTTTGAACAACGAGCACGAATCATACCGATTATCTCATTTAGCTTGAGTCCAAGGTTTGGGGCTCCTTGATGGAACGATGCTTATCGGTTGAACCAGACCAGATAGAGTCGATTTAACGGCTTTTTGTCTAGCCTTGACGCACAGGGCATCATCTTCCACCTTCCAGTACTGCTCAACTTTCTTCATTAGTGCCCAGACTATTTTGGGAGGCCGTCTGGTCAACGACCTACGGAGAGGACTATCAGGGTGTAATCCTATCTTAAAGGCAATAATGGCCATGGAATCATTGCAGGCATCATCCACTAAGTTAAAACACTCCCAATAATGCGCCGAATACTCACGGAGGGTCTCAATTGGTTTAATTTGCATTGCCCAGAGAGAGTCGGCTTGCTTTGGCTGAACTTCGTTGGTGATGAATCTTGCCCTGAAGGATTTTTGGAGCTGATGGAAGCTTCTTATTGATGCTGGCTCCAGTTTATAGTACCATCTGAAGGCCAACGATCCCAGGTTAGTTGGAAAAATTCGACACATGAGGGCCTTACCCTTAGCATGCAACGTCATCGCTTGTTTGTAATGACGAATATGGTCCGTGGGATCTAATTTTCCATCGTATAGGGTGAATGTCGGTGCTTTGAACTTTTTAGGCAGCACAACTCTTGCAATGCATTGTACGAAAAGGTCATGCCTGTCTTCTTCATCCAAACCATCACTTCCTTTATCTCGCATATGCAGTACATATGGACTTCCTTCGGATGAGCTGGTTACATCAACTCGCCCCTTCTTTCTGGGTTCCTGAGATGGCGAGTCAAAATCACTACTACTATCATGTTTCCGAAATCGACGTAGTCGATCATCCTTCTTCTTCTCTAGGGATCGACCCTGGTCATGACATGCGGCCTGTTAGGATTTGGCTAACTCCAGGGCCAATTCCTTACGTAAGCGTTCGTTTTCAACCATCATATCTGCTAGACACTGCTTGTTTCATTTTGCTTGATCCATGATCGTCTGCACAGTCTCCTGCACCAAAGTTAAGGGTGAGGTTTGAACTATTGGGTCGAAGTTCAGGGCCTGTCACATGGTGATATTCTCTGGTCCGAGCATGTTTCTTGGTGTAACATCGTCAGCAACTATCAAAGGATCATCTGCCACGCTTGCCATGGACCCACTTGAGTATTCCCACAGACGGCGCCAATTGTGGTGAAGTGGTTTGGAAATACTCTTGGATCCAGTTAGACGCTCTTGATCCTCTGATTGCTACCTGAAAAGGGATGAACACTCTGGTCGGGGGTGCCGGAATTAGCACTCCGACTGACAAGTGAGTATCCTCTCTAATTTACTTCTATCTCAAGTTATCTTGTGTATTCTTACATACCTCTCTTTAGCTGGCGCTTCTCTTTTTTATATTGCTCTCCCAGGGCCCACCTTTTCATCATCACCTTTCATCATCATATCTAGGACCCCCAGATACGTCATAAGCTTTTCAGCATACTTGGCCCGCGAGCTAGATTCTACTCGGGCGTGTTCTTGTTCAAATGGGTTTGGCCACACCGAGTTAGCCTTACTAGCATTCTCGGCATCCTGTTTGAACCTCTTGAGTGCACATTTTATTCGGCCCCCACACCATCCAACTCGGCCAATTGGGAAGATGAAGATATATACACAAACCAAGAAGCAGTAGATAGTTAATCAACTCAATTCTTTTCTAGATCCACTTTAACTAAGAAATTTTTGTAAAAGATATAACCATGAAACACAAGAGACTTGAATTATATACTTTGGAATTACATTTGGTTGGTTTATTGCTGCATTGAATTTTATTTAAAGAATATTGAACGTACATAATCCTTATCAGCTATGTTTCAAGGACTCGGGTATAGGTATCGGGTGTGTATGTGTCTGCGTCGAATTTACCTAGTTCTCATGTCCAAGACACAGGGACATAACAAAATATTCATATTTCTTAATTTACTTCTTTAATGTTCTTGGGTAAAATAGTGTTTACAAAGTTCCATATAGCATCTAATGCATGGTATGAAGTTTTATACAGAGTTATATGTTAAACTCAAATTACTAACACATGTTTGCCAAATGATTGTTAAACACATTCCACAATCTTACCCAAGTATTGAATGTCTGACATGATACTTCATACATTCAGAAGAGTCCGTGTAACATAACTCATCAGTTTGAGTTCAATAACTCTTTCAAACTAGTTAAACAAATGAACATGTGAAGAAAATGTAGATCGTGATCAAAGATAAAGACATTGAAGCTTTTACTATGTAATAATGATAGAAAGTCAAGACAAGTTTGGTAGGATTATGAGATTTTACTTCTTGCACTCTGTTTCCTGATCAGGCAAGTAGCTTGTATTCATTCTCAAACATGGATGCCATATAAACCTGCCAAAAAATTGATTACCAGTCGTTAAAGTAGAGTCTGACAAGAAACAAGTTTCTTGGGAGCTAAACATAAGCATAAGTTGAGCTATGTTATATTGACTTGGGTACAAATGTCGATTGTGGGTATATGTGTCGGATTCATCTCATTCTGGCTAGGACACCACAAAAGGCTATATTTCATATTTCTTAAATATATCTTTTATTTTTTAAGAATAAAATGATGTTTACAAGCTAAAATATACCATTTAATGTATGTACAAAATGAAAGTCTTGTTAAAATCTTTAATTACTTAGATAAAACTATTATAACTCTTGTTAATATTTTCCAAATATATTCTCATTGCTAGCTGCCTAATTCTTTCCTCCATTCTTCACAAACAAACTTTAATCATTGTCCCATAACAAAACTATGCAATTAAGGCCTTGCCGTGATGGTATTTAAAGCAAAAGTAAGAGCAAGCAAGAAGAATCTATAAGTTTAAACTGTACAGAGTTTCTTACCACGACTCCTTTCTTTTTCAATGACAATTCAATTTATCTCACAAAATTTAATCTAACATTTCCACCTCTCATTCTGCAATTTTGTTTTCTTTTTGGAAATAAACTCGAGATTACAAATAATAATAATAACATTGAAGAGAAGTACACACTCGCGTATGCTCACATAGAGACACAGACAAAACAATCAGAACTCAACCTATAGCTCTATGGTGAAATTTCGATCAAGCAATTAGAGCACATCACAATAAAATTTCAGAGAGAGAGAGGGGGGCCTTTAATCATTTATGGATACAAGAAAGAGAGAGAGAGAGAGAGAGAGAGAGATTGAGAGGCCTTGAGGTCCTTGAGGATCTCCTAATACAAGCGATCGAGATGGCACTTGGAGGAGTCCAAGAGCGAAAAGACCAATTCCTTCAATTCCAAGATCGGACTTAGAGTTTTCTGACAAAGAGATATAGATGATGCTACAGCATTCTTGCTCTTATTGCC